AGTTAATAACTTTTTATACCATGAGCAATTTGCTAATAAAGAGTTGTTAATTCACTACGATACTTTGATCTGCTGTTTTTTTCTCACTGCATTTCATTTCGTCACTTATGCAAATGATAATGCAAAAGGCGCTATATTGCAGGTAAGAGATGAAAGAACACGTCATCATCCATGCCTAACTACTTTTCAGCAATTGCCTCAAAATGAGAAAACCTACAATATCAATTTGGCGATTGATACCATGAAGTAACATCATAATTACAGTATTTTTTTTCAATATTTTAAGAGTAACTGCAAGTTTTGTCTTGAAAAATAATGGATTTTTTGGATAATTTATATGCATGTTAAGGTGTTTTAAAGGGCGGAGGTTCAAATACCCTAAATTTCAGAACTTTGGAAGCTAGAAAGCTGAAATTTTGTAAAAATATTTTGATTTTCATGGTGTTAGGATGCACTGTTTTCTTTAGAGAAGCCATTATTTCTTGCTCCTTCAATGTGAACATTACATTTTACAGACTCTCTCCATTTATTAGTTTATATCACTTGTCCTTATCATTTTCACCAGCTACTGGTTTTTTTTTTCCAGGACAATCGATGCTCTTGGATATCGTTTGATCAGTGATGAACCACCGGTTCGTTTACGACCTATTCGTCTTCCACAGAAGTAAGAATCTATTATTTGCGAGTGATTTAATGATACCAGTTATCGTAGGGATTGTACCAGCTTGTTGATTAATCCTTAAAATCAGGCCACGGGTAATGTATCAATCTTGTTGTTTGTTTTGGGATAAATCAAATTGTTAAGATTTGCATAAATTAAGCTGAAAGGCGGCATGCGTTAAAATAACTGAAACAAGCTCAGCAAGCATGGCTGTGATACAGCCCATCGCATCCGGATGTGAAGGCGAGTAATTCGATTCCCATTCGATTCGTATGCATTTAGAAAACGGCCTCAATCCTCGAGATCAGCATTATTGGACAAATAATGGGAAATTTGGTTGGGGCGGTAAAGGGGGTATGCAGATTAGTAAGGAACTAGTTGAATATGCAAATAAGACATAAGTCGTATTAATAACTTTGTCAAGTTCGTATGGTTTATATGGCATTGTCAGTGAATGGTTTGTATGATTAGCGGTGTTTTTCAGCTATCAACAAAGCAATGGCTTCAAGCCGCAACCGCTGGATGCCCATGAGATATCGCTTGACGATAGCATGTTCCCGCTTATTGATGCCCTAGCCAAAAACACACATAATGTATGG